ATTCCAATACATCCTACAAAAATGAGCAGTAAATGTAGATGGTGAAGAGACTTTGAGCCCTGCTGTCTTTTCCTTTAACAAGCTTGCAAGTTCAAACTCATCTCCCTGTTCAACAGTGAACATAGCATTGCACGGGTGTCCAAAGTGATAATATATTGGGATTATTATTGCAGATTATGTATATAATTAGCAGAAAGAATAGGACTGGGTTTTACTGTTGCCCATTTGAGTCATTTTAATGGCATGAATCTTGAGACATTACCTTCCCCAATTTATCCACTCTGTTTCCTTATAAAAGAACGAATTACCTGTCTGTGCACTACTGATGCAGAAAATCCTCTCTGCTCTCTCTGAAGTCTCCAGTTTAACCCCTAGATTCTGTGCTAGCAAGGCTAGGTTATGTTGCTTATGTACTTGGCCACTGGGCAGGACCACATGTCCTGCCCCATGGCTAAGTTGACCCCATGACTACTGAACTGAGTTGAATCGTTTAAGAAAGAAACTCAACACAACCCTGTTTTTTAACATGGACTGTTTCAGTGATCTTATGCACATAGTCTCCATGCAGGACATTTTTTCCAGAACTGAGTGGGTAGTGAACTGCAGTATGGTGTAGGAAAGAGCAGCCAGATGCTTCTGAAGTCAACTCTGCTGCTGAAGAAGTTGTTCCATGAAACTGTAAGAAAAGATGCTTCCTGGGAGAAGAGGCAGAAGCAATGTAAGTCATGGCTAAGAGAAACCCCTTTTTTAAAAAATTCTACAAAACAAGAGATGAAGAGTTCACAAAGTTTCCAATTCTTGGACATCTTAGAAAGAAAACCTCCTCAACATCCTCAGGCGAGACATTTTGCCACAGATCTGAGGCATGGCCTTTTGAGGGACAAAGCTGAAGTGAGTTTTCAGGGTCTGTTCTTTGCCCTCTGACCCTTCAGATGCTGGCCTTGGACAAAAGGTCAGTCCTGTGGGGTGGGAGAATGTGAGAAGCTTGGAGTCTACTGCTCCAGAATATGCCTGGTGCAGTACAAGGCTTAATCCTCATCCACCATAAATAAATTCAGAATTATTAAGAGACACACCATTAACTCAAAATTTTATGTAGCAGCTGGGGAATCTGCTGAGGATATACTTATCAGTTGAGGTCTATTTTACGACCTCTGCACATAACTCAAACCATCAGCTCATATTGGCTCGGCCTTTCGCTGACAGGGACCATGTCACGTATCCCCCAGGGCAGCTGGAAGCCTCCAGCAGACAATGGGGGCGAGCGGCTGACATGGGCCGCTGTGGCCCTGGCAGAACAATGCAGCTGCTGCGGAGGTTGGCCCTGCTGAAGGAAACGCGCTTCTCCCAGGTTGTCTGAGGGGAGGGACACTGAAGCAATGGAAATTCCCCAGCAGTAAAGGAGAACAAAAGAAGAGGTGTTGGAAGCTGCCGTTAAAAAGAGACAGGCTCCCTATACCTGCTGGCTGCCAGACTTGGACAGCTTCTTCCAGGGCCTGAAAGAGGAGTGGATGGTCCTCTGGCTGACAGAAAACCACACCGCTCTGCAGGATGCAATCCCCCGGGAAGCGCAGGTGAAAAACTACTCCCTCACACAGAGGACCAGAGTTTCACAGTTCCCCACTATCGCACGTTGGGGCACAGGGTTGAGAGCACAGCCACTGCTGAGGGCCCCGCTCAAAGTGGGGGTGCCTCTGGGCCCGGCAGAGCCCCCCACACCACAGCCGGCCATGAAACCCCCTGCTGCCCCGCAGCCGGGACCTGGGCTCCACACAAGTGCGTCCCTCTTGTTTTTGCATGGGATCTGGAAGTCTCTAGATTTCCTCCCCTGATTAAAAGGTGTGGCTGCTGAAGAAATTAGTTTACAGAGCCTCCAAATTCCTTACTGCCGTTGTCATATGTCTGCAACAGGAGTAACCGCGAGGCCAGGGCGTGGGGAGGGGTGTGCTGCACCACGGCTAGGGCTCGGCACTGCTCTGGGACCGCTGAAATCCCCCTTTCTAGCAGCAGTAACTCTGCAAGGACTCTGCACCTGGAGAGGAAACTTGAGGAGTAATCCATATATGCTAGATTAAAATATCTGGTAAAAATCCCTCAAACCCACACATATCCTTCCCTGAAAAAAAGTTAAAGTAAAACCTGCGATTTTACAGCTTACTTTTCTTAGTAGTACAGCCATAACGGCTGTTTTGAACTGAAACAAAGGGAAAAGTTACACTGATTTATAAAGTCATTAAAATACCAGGAGAAAAAGCAGTGGCTAACTAAGTACTGCCATTGACTGCCACAGCTTTTGGATCAGGCCCAGAAGAATGCTGGAATAAGTGGTGAAACATTTTATTTTCTAACTTTTTAGTGGCTACTGCAAACAATGGAAAATACAAGCACATACTTAGAATAACTCTATCCTTTGCAAAATGAGATCACACCTAAAAATACTTCCTCTTGTTCCTGTATAACTTCAGTTTATGATAATAGCTATTACACATATATAGTGAAGAGGAAAAAATAGCTTCCCAAGTGCTGGGTAAAAACTTGAGATTGTATCGTAGAGTTTCTGCTACAGAATAAACTTTAAAATCTGTTGATGATTCAGACTATTTATTCAGATATCAGAATGGACAATCCAATTACAGCATGGACAACATGAAATAAGGTAGTAAAAAGCCAGGGGCTTGAGTTATCAAATTATTGCTTGGAGACAGGAAAAGCTAAGTGATGATGATGATTCTTTGTATCAAAATTATATCAAGTATTAAGAAACAAATGCAAAATGTATCTGAATTTTAGGTTTCCAGTTTGAAACAATTAGTGCTATTATTTACATCTCCACACATAAGCCCACACAGCTTGAATTTCCTGGGATATACATGTGCTATTAATTTTTAACTTTGCTCTAGGATCCAAGCCTGAATCACCAGGCCCTGTTACTTTCTAGCGCAAGGGTGTGTTTTGTCCGCTTGTACTACAGACTGTTCCAGTGCCCTGGCTCCTCAAAGTGCAAAGGTATTTTTCAGGAGTTTACGTTTTACTTTTTAAAACCATCTCCTACACTTAAATTTCCTTAGCAACTTCCAAAGCAGCCGACTTTCACAGCTGTGTTGCCATCCTACGGATTTCATCATTGCTTGACCAGAGAAAAGAGTGTTGGTTAAGCTAAAATCTCCATTTAGAGTGATTTTCTACAATGTTGCATCAGTTCCCTGCTAAGTAGCACAGATCTAATAGCGAACAGTATTTCTGTAACCTGAAGAAGAGTAAATTAACATTTACAGAATAGCTCAGCGCTGACCTTCTTAAGGCAACAGCAGCATTTTCTTATGCAGTTTCCTCAACTACGTTACATACAGACAGAATTGGTTTGGATTTTAATTCTAAAACTGCTGGCGAGATTCATTTCAATGTATGTAATCTCCTCAAAATACAGAAAAACAGACAAGAGTAAATGCAAAGTTGTTGCAAGAACGGAAATACGTGCAATTGCTTTAGAGAGCACGGAGCTGACCCTACTCCCTTCTCTGCCAGTGGGAATTTTACCACTGACTCCAGTGAAAGTACAGCCAGGCTAGTGATTTTCTAACACTTGAAGGCAATTATTTTTATTTTAAAATGCAGGAATAGCCTCCCGCTCTGGTCCAGTTCTCAGCCTGAGGCTGTAGCCCTGCCAGCACTGTTAATGTCATTGTTTGCGAAGCGTATTCCCAGTCTCGCGTACGCCCACGCAGGGCTCCCAGCTCCCGGCCGCAATGTCCCCCCCGCCGCATTGTTTCAGCTCCCCCTGTTTCCTCGCCTCCCACCCTGTCCCCCCACCATTGTTGTCCCCCTGCACCCACCCTGCATTGTTCTCACGCCCGCCTGCCATCCCCACCCAGGAGGGACCCTTCCTCCCTCCCACTCCCCGCAGCAGCTCAGGCTCCTTTCTTACCTACTTCCATATATTCCGCTGACGTATTGGCATCAAAACATTTTCCCTTTCTGAAAGCGCATTACATAAGCTGTCATTACTAGATCCCATGGCTTTTGTGAGCTGTGGGCGCTCTGCCTTGAGAAGCCCAGTCCAAAGTCTCTTAAACAAGAAGATTCTTATTTCATTGCTATGGACTCTAGATCAGGCCCAAAATTAGGATTGATAGAAAGTGTTACTGCATTTTCAGATAGGATATAAAAGGCTAGAGCAAAAATACATTGTCACTATAGAACAGAAATATGTAATGAGACAGATACGTAGGGATCGATATTACATCTTCATAGTATGTATGTACAGAAATGACTGGCATGATTTACATGGGCTCCATTGTTACAATAAATAAGAGTTAAATTCTTTCTAAACTGTGCTTTTGCTCCTCCATGTATAAAAGCAAGTAGGGTTAAAAATGTACTTCTAAAAAAACCAAGGCAAGGCTCGCGTTTATGTAGTCAAGTGTTAATTGCAGACAGGATTTCTAAAATACCTTGTTCATACATGTATATCTATGTCCATATATATATAAAGCATAGAAATATTTTTATTCATTTACCAATTACAGTGATTGAAAGTTTAAAAAGATTTTTAAAAACACACAGAAACAAATTAAATTAGCCAGCTTTCCTGTCATTATTTCAGCCACCTTGCTTTTTTACTGCTCTCCGTTTTGTACATCTACAATGTTCTTTTGAAATATTTACCTGTACTGTACTGGATTTTTCATACAGGCATATAGGGATACTAACCCTAAATTTCTATGTACCTCCTATTTTTTTCCTATGATACTTCACTTTCGCTGTCGTACTGCTTTCAAAATGATACTCCATCTTTTCACAAAATCATGTTTATTATACACAGTATGATGTACAAACTGTTTTCCATGCCTAAGTGAGTCTTTGTTAATCCTTGGGAAGAAGAGCAGCTATATATGCTTAGAGTAGATTAAGTATAGAAACAAAACCCAAATACCTCATTTTATTAATAAATAATTAATACATTTTGTATTTTAATACGTGAAAAACTCATTAACTCTTACCATGGCTTATGCGGTGAAAGCAGTAGTATGCAAAGTCCACTCCCAGGAGTGTCAAATACCACGTCCATGGTGAGTCCCAGGGCAGTTCGAAGAGTCTGTAGTTGTTCCATATGTAGATATAACTAATTAAGTCAACACTTCTGAATAAAACACTGAAATAGAGATCCAAAAAGTTTTATCAATAATCTTCTCAACTTGAATTACAGAACCTTTTTACTATATATTTACCATTTATCAGGTGGGAGTCTTTTTGTAACACATAAAACCAGTCTCCAAGTTCTGCAACTTCTGTCAAGTAATGCTACTATCGACTTCAATGGAATCTTTACTTAAGGTCTGTGAGGTTTTTCAAACCAACCATCACCCACTCACCACCGGTGTTGTGGTATTAGGCATCCTCAAAGGCTCTGCAGTACTCTGCAGGTGCTGTGGTGATCCTGTTCTCCCAAATCTGGAAGAAACCCATCCTTGCTAAGTCACAAGTCAGAAGTGACTGAAGTATAGCAGCAATTATGCTCAAACACTAATGTATGACATTAAAATACCTTGACTATTTCCACTGTAGGGAAGGGCATGGAAGGTGACAGGACTTTTAGGAGCAGTAAGATAGTCAATCTACTCAGCATATCACTTCACTTTAAGAGGATAAATGCAGCAGGAGGAGACAAAGCCCAGTGCCTTTGAAAAGAAGGGAAAGGGCAATTGGTAGAGAAAAACAGCAGGACTGCCAGAAAGGGGGAGAAAAAGCCACAAATTTGCAAAGACAGGAAAGCCACTAGTCAGCAGCTTTTATTGCTGCCAAGTTCCTGGACAACAGGGAGTGAGCATCTACCTCTGACCTAACTCAGGTCAGTGCTGAGACTAGGAGAAGGAGAATGAAAGTAGCTCTGGGATGGGCAGGCCAGATCCAGCAGTAACTCTCCACAGCTGTTTAGGTTAAGAAAAATTTGGGTTGCCACAGTCATACCCTCTCCTCAGTGCCCCACCACCTCCCACCTCATTCCACTGATTTGGAGGATGAGCTGTCTCCAGACAAATTGCTTTGGTTTTGCTGGTTGTGTTTTTGGACAGACTGGGAAGTGTTAACCCCAGTGGGACAGAGATGAGAGGCCGTGGGCACTGGGGTGGCCCAGGTCACAATTGGCTTAGGTAGCTGTGAAATGGTGTCTCAGCTGCAGACTGATGTCTATTTAAACTGACATTTTTTGTAGAAGAGAGTAGTGCACAGTGTGATCTGCAGCAACTTCCTCACACCCCCTCCTGCTACCCTCCTTTGCTGTGTTGCTGAAAATGTTTGTGGGACTGTGGTGAACTGAACTGGTGCAGCTTCTGAAAAGCAGCAAGCAGAAAAAAAGTAGGGAAAGGATACTAACTGTAGGAAAGTCACACATATCCTTTTTTATATATCAATGGATTAAATGCACCTCAGTTTAGGGCCTAAGAGTCAGAAATGAGATTATTATTATTAGCACCATCATCTACACACAGAAAAAACTAATCTAGTTCTCAGATGTTTTGCTGCTGGTATATTTGGGGGGGGGGGGGGGGGGGGGCTGAAATTACCAGCAGAACAACACCTTTGTCCAAAGTTGTGCAAGATTTTTAGTAATCTATAAATCACATTCATGGCTGAAGGAAGACTGAGGGATTTAGATTCAGGGAACTTCAAACGGAGATTGCAAATGGCACACCTGCAAGACACTACTTGAACAGAGGAGGTAACAAACTGCACATAGGTGTCACAGCCTTGCAAAACCTCAGCTAAAAGACTGTCACAGACCAACATCTTTCTTTCACTTCAGTCTCACCTGGAACTTCACCTTATATTGAACTCAGCTAAAATAGCCTCCATGCATCTCTCTGTCCAGGTCTGCTCATTCTTGTCTCAGTGCCACTTCTCGATGGTACTTCTTCCCAAACCCTGCCTTTTTTTTTTCCCCCCCTTTTTTTCAGCTAGATTATTTTTCACACAGTTTATGGCATGGCCCCCAAAACACCTGAATCTGAAAAACTAAAAAAGGACATATACTCTTTCTCCTCTAAAGCCTTGTTTCACACACCTGGAAAACATCCCTAAGGACAGTCTGGCCATGCCTTGTACTTTTGGCTAGCTGCACTGAAACACGAGGGAACCCCAGCAAACATGGCTGTTTCAGCTTAACGAACCACCACCCAATGCTATGACTGAACTTCGAGGTCGCCTCCATATTTTTGCAGAGATATCCATTCAGAGCTTTTATACTTCTGGCATTAGCACCTCTTCCCACAATAGTGTTTTGAATAAGGCTAGAAGGAAACATCTTGAGTTTCTGTGCTGCTAGTCTCTCTATTAACATGGAACAAAGTCAGCTGAAAATTCCAAGCTCCCAATACTAGCCTGCAAGCAGAATAGTGTCACATCCACCATTTTATCCCAAGCTGAAGCATTACAAGGAATTGCTGTTCGTGAAGAAAACTAATCTCTTTTCCACAGCCAGCTGCCACATCTTACCTGCAACTCCTTCCTACCTTTACTACAATCATCCCAGTTTTTCTCTTGGACAAAACCAAAACACAAGAAAACCCATGAAGTTTCATTTTAGCAGCTGGCAGATGAAGAATTTCTCTTGACTAGCAATGACAGGTGTATCTACCACTTTGAAAACAACTTAGCTATGCCCAGAAGTTGGACCATACACACCTGGAACATGTTTAATTTTCATAAGAGCTGTGTTCTATAAATATTTTTAAAGAAGATTATATGTGTCCAACCAGATTTTTGCAATTCACCTCATGAGGCATCTGTAAAGTTCAGTATAAATTCTCAATCCCTTTCACAACAGGTCAGAAGGGAGCTGATATTATGCAAACACAAAGAACTGGGCATTTCTTAACATCTTTTCAATGACCAGGAAATTTAAAACACCTCTTGCAACATAGAGTATCAGTTATTATTAGGTACTGCTTTCTTACTTTATTCTTTTGCTTTTATTAACATATAATGCCTTTGCAGTACATCCAAAGATATGTGAACTGGTACATTTCCTCCATTTTTGATCAGCTTTCAGTATTTCACCCTCGAGTCCTTTTTTTTTTCCAGAGGCTGAGGCCAAGGTGTAAAACTTGAGCTAACCCTGCAACACATTTTTTATATATGTGATTTGCTGTACATTCTTTCCTTCATGCTCGAATCACAACACTACAGCACAAAACACTAGCTGATTACTGTAATTAATTTAGAGTAATACATCATATCACTATGCTATGCTGGAGAAAGAAGAGCTGCTTAGCTAAGTATTTTTTTAAAATTTACAGTGTGATAGATAGGAAAGTCCAGAGCTTGCATTCAATTACAATTCTGAAAGTTCACTTGGAGTTTTAAAGGTTTATATTGCCCCTTTTTTTCTCCCTCAAGTTCCATTTTCACTTCTTGAAAATACTGAAGAGAACTTAAGAAAACTTTTTCCTCATTTAAATGTTAGGTTTTAACCATAAATATGACAGAAGCGGATAGGCAAGACTTTTGTCATCTAGTCCAATCCTCTGCATAAGGAGTAATAAATCCTAGAACAGACAGACTGTATAGAAAACCTTATTATATACATTGCACAGATTTATCTTCTTGGATTTTTAACATTTCTGCTGAAAATTTTCTTATTATGTGCAAAGTATGCACTTAGGCAACTGTTTTGACTTTGAGAGTTTTCGTCTCCTTGTTCCTGAAGTTCATACATACTTTACTCAAAGGTGATAATATTTGTTTTAATAAACCATTTCCCCCTTTCTCCTTCCACTGGGTCAGATTATCACTTCCTCTAATTAAAAAAGTCCAAGAAGGAAATTCTGGGAGATGAACTCTCCATGTGGAAATGAAGATCTACTTATGGTAGATCCCTATGGGATAATGAAGGAGGGAAAAGGTGGAGAAAATTCAATTGGAAGAAAAGGCAGCTGCCCATTTGAAAGAAGACAAGGTCCTGTTTTGCTTCCTCCAACGCACAGATCAGCCTTAGAGCCTGAAACCAAAGTTTTAGGAAACCTCTTCCATGGTGGCCAGGACAGTCACCAAAAGGGAAAAGGGTCAGAGACAGTAGCTGTCGTCTCTCTTCCGAGCACGGAGAAAGATCCGTGTATCAAAAGTGAAGACCCCAAGGAAACCGCCTCACCTCTCGCCACTATTGCAGTCACCACCTTGCGTCACACTGGGAACTGACCTGGGGCCCCTGAGCTAAAAACACAACTCTACAGCTGGACCTACAAAAGCACAGCTCTCAAGGGCTCTAACAGACTTGCATCCTTGGAGGTCAGACACAGAGGGAAACATGTTAAGACACCCTGGTCACAAGGTTATATTATCATTAAAAATAGTGAGATATTACTAATACAGTTTCCCTGGGTTAAATAAATTCAGTTCTTCTAACCTGATTCAAAATACATGAATGTAAAGTTTCAAAATGTTGAACAAAGGCAGTTTCTCCTCGATAATTTGAAATTATTCAGACCATATATGTAACAGCAGGATACATGAATAATTAAATGCTCTGTAAGCTTTTGTTTCAGAGTGAAAAGCATAAGGATTTCCATTTCCAAGGATACTCATAGAGCTTTCTTTTCCAGATGAAAAACTGGCTCCAGTCACAATTGAAATAAACATTTTGATAACATGATTTTAGTAAAGAGGAGAAGGGGGGAGGAGGTAGAGGAGCCTTGAGAAAAGGTCCATTTGCAAAACAAAGCAAACCTCCTGCAACTGAAATCCCTTTTTATTTCCTGTACAGGTGCCAGGTCTTGAACAGACACCCAATTTATTACCTTGTCAGCTGACTTATTAGGGTTGACACAAATCGAGCTGAAATATGCCTGACATACTGCAGTCAAGGCTTTTTTCACGCTTTAGCACAAAGCCAAACTTTCCACAAGGTGGAGGGAAAAGGAGAGGGAGCTGTGGGAGTTCTATTCCCTGTTTTCTATCATCAAGATGAATATGATCCTCTCCCATTCTTAATATGCAAAACCAGTCATGAAATAACCCAAGGCTAAAAAATAATTCACCAAAATGATACAGCTGGGAAATGATTATCAGGCTCTGGAAGCCCTTGATTACAGGAAATAGCACCTACATTTTGAGAAAATGTTCCCACCAGACACAAAAGCTGAATCAAAGCCTCTCCTC